TGCTATTCCCAGCCCACCCTACTGCCCCTTTCCCTGGCCTCCTGCCCACCCAGTGGGTCATGCTGAGCCATGCCACACTCAGGGGATGACACAATGAGGGGTGAATCCAATTGCCAGCCACAAAAACAACACACAGTGGTTGCTTTCAATATTTGAAAACCTAGTCTTCAGGGGCACAACACACAGCAAGCTGGGATCACCACAGCAAGGCTTGGGCTGAAATTTGCCTTCTAATGATTTTTTCAAGTCACCCTGTCTGTAGCCTCACAACTAGTCTTTTCCTAAGGGTACCTGGTTACCTATTTCTGGTTGTTACATCAGCACCCAAATGGTCACCCCCTCCTCTTGTGCATGCACCTCCTGTCCTGGCACCAAGGCAGCCTCAAAGCACTGTACCATCCTGAAATCATCCCTCCTGAAAGAGATTCCCATCCTGTGGAGTGGAGGAAGCTGCATCTTCTCCCAGGTTATCTTTGACCACTGTGTAAATTTAAGCCCAGCAAACACCTCAGGTAAGTACCAGGGAGAGAAGAGAATCCACTGCGGGGCCACAACGGACCCAAGAGTTTACAGCTGCACAAGCAGGGGAGGAAGTAAAAAAAGTGAGACAGGTTACCATGTCTAAAGAGAGGGCTGAGAGCGTGTGTGCGCGTGTGCAAGCAAAGCCAAGGAGGGTTACATCTGGAGAGAGGCTTCATGACTTCTTGCAGATAACAGTTTCGACCACAAAAGTGTTCTCGAAGTGACGAATGCGATGACAGTTCCCAACCTCACGTCGACTGATACCTGCAAGTGATGGGGAGACAAGAGGGGGAAATTCAACCAATGATGATCTCTAAGAGCTGCAGCAAGTGGGGGAAGGAAAGCAGATGAGATGCAGTCGGTGAACACTGAAATGCAGGAACAACACAGCTCATAGGAAAAGCTGCATGATCTGGTCTTGGAAAGAATAGCCATATTCTGTAGGCCATGGTCCTGCAGCAAGAGCTGCCATGAGCTGGGGGACCTGCCTGGGAACAGCTGGTTTCAGCTGACAGCATCTCAGTGTTATCTCAGAGACCAGAAAGCCTCATGAAACCAGCAGAAGTCACGGGCTGGTACAGAGCACAGCTCTGAATGCAGCCAAGGAGGGCTTAAAATCACCTCCCCTCTGGCTGTTTGTGTCCCCACACGCACTCATCCTGCCACAGCCTCAGCCAGGAGGCCCCTGCTGGGAAAGCAACTACAAACTACAGCCATGGGGACTTCTGCACCCTGCAGCTTCCCCACAGATCCAAACCCAGACTGACCACATGTTCAGGTTTCAGGTGAACCTTTAAGTACACCTGTAGCTAAAACCAAATACAAATACTGAAATGAAGAAGTTTTTTGCAGCAATATTACCATTTGCACGTTAAGATACATACTGCTACTTTTCATGACATCATTTTAAGGTAGCCCAGTGCTCCCTCTTCACAATTTGGTCCATATTATTAGAAACTTAATGAATTGAAGGCAATTTGCAGATCTCATCTGATCTGAACAGCTGCCACTGAAGCGGGTGTCTCCATTAGGGAAATCTTCCCAACAGTTCTCAACAGCACTGCTATTAGTTCAGCCCCAGGAGCCCCCATGTAAGTGAATTGCTGGTTCCTGCAACCATTTCATTGTTCCTCAATGTTTCTCCTGGGCTGACAGATGACAGTAACACAGCAGCCAACACCCATTTGCAGCAGCAGCATCCCAGATTCGTGTTTAGATGAATTACATGGGAAAGACCTCAAAAGTTCCCCTGTGTGCTCACACCCACAGAGAAACCACCCCTCTGGCCATGAAGAGGCCAGCATGGCTGTCAGGGCAGAAGTACTGGCTGTGATGAGGGGGAGGAGCGAGGTGGGGCAGGTGAAGAGGACAAGGTTCTCACGTCTCCTGGCGCCCCTCCGCTTCAGCCTGTAGGTCTCCTTGCCGCTGCAGAGGCGGTAGATGAAGGAGCCCAGCTGCTCCATGTCCCTGACGTGCTCCGTGGCGATCATCTCCTCTCGGATTATGTATGTCTGAGGCAGGTATGTCCCTTTCTGAAATGACATGGTTTCCAACAAAATAAAGCACTAACGGTGGCGTGATCTCGTCCTCAGACAGAGCTGTCACATGGAGTACCAAGGACAGCCAAACAAAAGCCCCACTGTCTGAAGGCTCCAGCTCCACTTATGGGTTAATATGCTTCCCTGTCCTTGCAGTGAACTGTCCCACACTACTAGCACAGGGCACACAAAGGGGATTAGATCCAAAAATTGAACATTCCCATAGGGAATGAAACCAATGTAGGATCAAACCTGTTATAAACTAGCCCAGTGTTAAAGGAGGGCGCACAAAGCTGTAACTCAGAGCACAACAAACCCATATGGAGAGGGATCAAGGCTCAGCCAAAACGCCAGGAATTCCACTGAAAATGTGCATTTTACATTTACTTCAAAAGGCAAAACCCCAAGATGCCAGCACTGCTTAGACTCTAACAGTTCCCTGAGTTTTCCATGTTTCCCCTTCCTCCTTGGACCATTCTGTACAGCCACAATGATCTCCTGCCCTTACAGCCCACAGGAATGGGGACTAGGTCTGGGTCGTGGGCACCCCATTTAGCACCATGTCCCTGGATGGTAGCTGTGGGCACTCAGGGGAAAACGAGCTCTGGGCACACTTCCACCACCACATGGACGATGCCCAGTGACCCTGGGGTGGTGCAGGAAGGCAGCTCGTGCCAGGGACAGAGCTGAGCCAAAGCAGCACACAAGAGCTCCCTGCTGCTAGGGTAAGTCTGTTAGAAAGACCAGGGCAATGAAGAGCAGACTAGGTGCTAATTAGGCCACGAAGCAAAGACTTGATTCTGGTCCCTTTCTCTTAAGAAGAGTCAAAGAAATGAAAGGCCAGGTTGGATGGGGCTCTGAGCAACCTAATCTAGTTAAAGATGTCCTTGCTCAGTGCAGGGAGACTGGACTAAATGACCTCTAAAGGTCCCCTCCAACCCAAATCATTCTACAACTCTAAGAAAAGAAGCAGCAGATATTGGGGTCAATATAAATATAATCAGGGGGAAAAGCAACCAGCAATTTCAAATATCACCTCTTCAGTTTCCATCACAGGACTGGTTATCTCCATAGAGATGTACCTGGAGACAGGCTGCCTTAACTCAGGGTCGTGCTGTTGTGCTGGCGTAGCCTACTGGATCAATAAAGCTCTCCTCTAATGCTGGAGGACTAGACTATTAATGGAAGTTTGTACTACACTAACACAACAGTTCAGCAAGAAATTCAATTATTGATTCTCAGTGGGAGAGTGCAGGAGAGGGCATGTGATACGTGCAGTTACTGGCAGGGGCTGTCATGTTAACACCCAGGGCTGGAGCTCTGGATTTCCCATATCCTTGACACGGTGACAGGGCTTGGAGAGAGAAAGACACACAGACATAGTTCAGTTTCTTCATTGCTTTAGATTTTATATAGCTGTGGCAGCTCAAGTAGTGAGGAATCATCACTCCTCTACTGCAGGACTGTGCAACGAGCGTGATACCTTCAATCCCCTGCCAAGAGTTTTAAGAAAACTAGAGCACTGACCATCTAGGGTTCTGAAAAAGATGTGGATCAACCACCATCTAACTGGGTCAGCTCCAGCACCCTGCTGCTGCACAGGGGGAGCATCCCTCCATCCTTTTCTCTCAGATCCTTACACAGCCCTGTTCACTAAACCATTACACCGACACAGAACAAAGTCTGCAAGAAATAGCAGAGCTGCTTTGATTGGGGAGTTACTTAAACCCACATCTGCTTTGTACTATCTTTAAAGAATCAAACACTTAAGATGATTTTAACTGTATCTTCATCCCCCTTTTAAATTCAATTTCTGATAAAGAGAAAGCATAATTTTCACTGACTGTGACTTCAGATCTCTTCTTTTAGGACGTGACCAATGTTCTAAATCTCTCCATTTTTTCCCAGGGCTCTCCTGTCAGCTTGTGCAATCTTGCCTTCTCCACTTCCCTCTGCCCCAGGGACTGGTCACCTGCCATGGGCAGAAGCTGTGGCTGGTCTGGAGCAAGTTATAAGTAAATGTGCATTGCACCTCAGCAGGGGTCCCAGCACATTTGCCAGATGGTCACTGTGCGTGAAACTGTGAGGAAACAAACTGGGAGCCTGACAAGGACTGGAGTGCAGGCATCTCCCAAGGCACAGCCTTCTACCTCTGAGCTTAACCCCTGCCAAGTTCATCACACTGCATGTAGCAGCAAGTGAGTAAAGGGTACTTAGGAAAGAGATTGCACTGGGCTTTTTTTCTTCTCTTTTAAATAAGAGCTTTGCTTCACCAGCAAAAGACTGAGATAGATATGCACTTTCTGCAGACTTAGAAATCCTGTTTTTTTTTCCTGCTGTTAAGATTAAATAGTACTCTATTTTAAGAAGGCTGCTTTTAGTCACTGCAAGAGCAGCTCTGAACTGAACAAACCTGCTGGTACTAAACCAAAGGAATGCTGGCTGTGAGCAGAACAGCATGAGCCCGAGTCCGTGGCTGCAGCCCACAGCACAGCAGGGAGAGCAGCACAGATTCCCCACTGAAAAGGGTGAAAGCTGAAGGCCTGGTACTCCCCAAGGGACACTGAGAGCTCTGCAAATGCCAAACTGCTGTGGCAACCACGGCAAGAGTGAAAAGCATGAAAACTCAGCAGGGTTGCAGCTGTACCTTCACGTTAACCAGCAGCTCCCAGAGGTTGCGAGGAGGCATCACAATGGTGGTGTTGAGCTCGATGACGTAGCACTTGTCCAGAGTTATGTCGTGGTAAGCTGTCAGCCCCTGTGTTCCAAGCACAGAAATTCAGCAATTGAGCCCTTCACAATGAAACATGGCTGTGAAAATGGGTGAAAAGGGAGTTCAGGGAAGACAGGAGATTGCTTTGAACAAGAAATCTGTCCCAGGATCTCCCTATCAATCAAGACAAGCAGGTTGGAAAAAATCTCAGAGAGGGCTTTAGGAAGGACAGCTCAGCACTAAGATCATCATATACACAGGTGACAACAGCAACAGTGCCAGGCCATGAGCACTGTGCTGGTGCACCCCAGCTCAGCCCCACGACCCCCCCAAAGGCCCCAAGAGCTCCTTACTCGCTGGAAGTCGTGGATGATATCCGCAGGGTCACTCCCCCCAAACTGGGGCACGGGGACGTTGATTTGCTCGTAGTTCTCCTCAAGGTAGATCTTGACATCTTCGTGCAGCTCCAGCTGCCCTTTGAAGGGTGAATACAAGGAGTCTTCGTAGAGGACACCGCAGTGAAACACGCTCTCACGGGGCAGCTGTGGGGACCAGATCCAGGTGGAGGTCAACACTCACACACCCCACTACCAACTACAGCAAACACAGGAAGAAACGTACCCATACTGGGTAAAAACACCCTTTCCAAACAGATGCTTGAGAGTATTTCAAGGTCAGTCTTTTTATCAGAAACCATTCTTAGTGTTGGTAGTGCAAAACACCCTTGTGAAGTGACCACGTGCCCTTTCCTGCTCGCCAGGTCCAAAGGGAAGAAAAGACTTCACAAGGGGCAATTCAGAAAGGCAAACTTGCTGCCTGTAGGCTCTTAAGTTTACCAACCAGGCTGCTCACATCCCTCCACATGCATGGTTTCCAGTAACTGCATTTTAAAGCATAAGGTGTATAAGTTTGGGAGGAACAGAGCATCTTTTCTAAAGGCACTTGTAGCTTGGATATGGCAAATACCCCAAAACAAAGCAGCTTCACCTCACTCCAAACCAGGAGCTGCTGCTCTCCAGGGCTCCAGAAGCACAGAGTATGGGCAAGAGAGTTAAGGCAGGCTGAGCGATCAAGTTTGGGCACAAGGATCACGGGGACAAACTGCAGCCATTGGAGGCTGAGACAGAGGCCCCTTTGCCTTGGTCTCCAAAGCACCTCTGACTATACTGAATGGGCTTTGCTGAGTAACTGGATATGAGCTGTCACTGGCCCAGGTTGCCCAGAGAGCTGGTAGAAAGCCCAGTCCCTAGAAACACTGCAGGTCAGGTTAGATGGGGCTCTGAGAAACCTGTTTAAGGATGTCCCTGCTCACTGAAGGTGGGTTGGACTAGATGACCTTTAAAGGTCCTTCCAACCCACACCCAAAAATCTTCAAACCCAATTTGGTGTCACAGGCGAGCATTTGGGGTGACAACAGGTGGCCCCAAATGGACCAGCAGGCATTTCCCAACACCACTCAGCCTACCAAGGGTAGGGTATTGACTAGGTGATGGGTTGAATGCTGTCCATAACCTGGTCAATAGCCTTCCCTCAATGCCAGAGGCTTCTTGTAAGGAAGAGTCCACCAAAAGCCCTGCAACAGGGTCCCACCACACTTCCACAGCAGTGTGTGGGAAGGGTGAGCAGCCCTACAGTTGTCACAGGCTTTCCAGATCATGTATAAATGAGCAGGGGCAATAAAGAAGACTGCAAATTAATTTGACAACAAGAAAATTTATGGAGCAAGGGAGTGTATAAAAAGACTATACTGCTGAGCAAGTGCTGGCTGCAGAGACAAAGGCAGCCAATGGTCCTGGGAGAACTCATCCACTAATAGCTGCTGCCCAGCAGAACCAAGGCTTCAGTGCAGATCAATGCTCTGGGGTTTCTTGGCTAAACACCCAGCAGCCCTCAGAGCTCAGCAGTTTCCTCCTTAAAAAGCAGCTCTGCAAAAGCTACATGCAAGAAAGGTGCTGAATTTAATGGAGGTTGAGGGCTCACCTTCCATACCACCTCCACCTTACTCTTCACTTCTCCACTTGCCTTATTAATAGCAGCACCTATTTTTGTTACAGAGTTTTGCTGTGCTAAGGCTTAAAAAACCTTCTGCAAAAAGATGCTCCCATTCTTGTACCTCCCTGCTCTCTCCAGGGCTTGCTCTCCTCTCTCAAGAAGCCACACTTTCAGACTGCCTTACCCCTGACAGCAGTGGCATTGGGGTTATAAGGCAGAACTGGCAGGATATTTTTATGGAAGTAAAAAAAAGAAAAAAGAAAAATAAGTCCACAAGGGAGGAGAAGAGAAGGGCTTCTGGAAGGGCCTTCCTGGCAGTTGGGGTGGAAGTGAGCCTGAATCTACCACTTAAGACATGTCTTGTCTGCAGTGCCCAGAGGACTGTCACCCAAGTTACTTGGACCTGATGATTCAAGAAGCCCTTTCCAACCACAGTGACTCTAGGATTCTTCTTCTTACTGCAGTGCAAAACCAGCATCACCTCTTTCCAAGGCTGAAGCAGCCTGACTGGCTGCTCCAGGTGAAGAGGCAGCAGTCCTTCCCCACTCGCCCCTACCTGGGTGATGAAGAAGTATCTGTACACGTACATCGACGCGAAGACCAGCCCCAGGAGCAGGATGAGCAGCCCCATGGTCAGGTAGCACACCCCGCTGAGCGACGACCTCCGGCCCTGCACCACGGGAGCCCCCTCCTCCTGCCAGGGGAAAACCAGAGCATCAGTCAGCAGCTGCTGCCAGGAGGCAGAAAATCAACCCTATTCCATCCACGGGTGTGTGACTGAGGGGGGCAGATGCTGTCCTGCAAAGCGACTTCACATCTGACAGCATCCCGGCAAGAGTAAAACACTTCCTGAGCAGTTCAGCCCCCCACCCCCCTCACACCTATATCCCAGAATCCCAGCATGGTGGGGGTTGGAAGGGACCTCTGGAGATCACCTGGTACCACCCCCTGCTCCAGCAGGTTACCCACAGCAGGGTGCCCAGGATCACATCCAGATGCGTGCCGAAACTCTCCGGAGGAGACACCACCACCTCTCTGGGCAGCCTGCTCCAGGGCTCTGCCATCCTCACAGGAAAGAGGTTTCTGCCTATGTTTAGCTGGAACCTCCTGGGTTCCAGTTTGTGCCCGTTGCCCCTTGTCCTGTCACTGGGCACCAGTGGATAGAGTCTGACCCCATCCTCTTGACCCCTACACCAACTGCTCAGAACAAAGTCAAGCAATGCTTTTGGTGGGCCATAAGAAGTGACTGGAAAAAAAAGGACATCAGGAACTAACAGTTCCTGGCTACTGGATGTAACAGCATTTATACTCAGATTTTTTTTGCTGAAATGCTGCTACTCTTGAAGAATTTTTCAGAGGAAATTACTGATTTTTCAGGAAATTACTGATCTCAGAGAGGTACCTCCTGGCCCTGCTGGGGTGAGCCTACCCAAACAGCAGTGTTGCTCTTAACCTCATTTTCAAGCAGATTTCTGCACACCTTCCAGGAATACGGTCAGAGTATCAAAAGAAAACATACCTGCTGTGTTTAGAGTGCTGCCCTATCTATACAGGAGCCATCTCACCTCCTTACAGCCCACAAAAACCAGGGCAGTGCAAAGGCAGAGTTACCTCCTGGGGACCACCCATCCCAGTCTATGACTGTCTCATTTTTACTACCAAAATAACCCTCTAAAATGTTAAGCAGGAGGATGCAAGGCCTTTCAGAAACAGATGAAAGAATCTGGTTGAGAGCTGCCCCAGTTTCTGCTCAGAAGAGCTGAGAGCTGCCCTCAGCTGAGCAGGGAGAGGGGTGCCAGGGAGGGCTCCTGCAGATTAGTCCCCCTGGGCAGTACGTGATCTGAGGGGCTGGATCAGGAGGACACTCTCTCCACAGCCAGCCAGAGCCTGGTACAAACTGGGTGAACAGATCTCAATGCAAACAACAGCCTCTTATTTCTATGATGAATCACTGTTTAAAGGAAGAGATGTTTCTCCAGGGTAACATGGCCAAAACCTGCTGGGTGGTGCAGGTGCTGAAGCTTCCTGGGGAGATGCCCCTGGGTCCCTGCCATCCTCCAGTGCCATGGGTTGGCAGCCAACACCCCCTTCCCCTTTCCCTGCCATGGAGCAGCCCTCATATGAGAGGTTCAGTCCCAGGTTTGGAGGCATCAAGTCGCTCCTGCCTCAAGACTAAAGCACCCCAGCATCCCTGAGACACCCACGGGAAGCCCACCAGGAAGGGATCCCCCTCACCTCCCCAACACCTGAGCTCCACCAAGGTGCAGAACAGGGGCAGAGTCAGGATCCTGCAACCCCTCTGGTACCTACTCCACTCCCAGCCAGCCTGGACTCCTCCAGCTATTGGCTTTTTCTTTTCTAGCCACATTCAGACCAATAACTCCAAAGCCCAAATTGCTTTGGGAGAACTATAATTCCAGCACACCTCCAGAAGAAATTAAATCTATATTTCTCCTTCATCCCATCTGCTGAAAGACCCTCACAGCACCTCTATTCACCAGGAGCTCCCCACATTGAAGGATCAGTGTAATCAGTTTGTTGCTGCTTCTCCAGCAAATAAAGGCATGAGCAGACTGAAAAATACATCTTAAGCTCATTTCCAATCTTTCCCTTCCTCTCCTGCAGACGAGGGGCAGCAACTGTGACAAGCCACACAGACCAGAAAAAAATAAAAAATGAGATTCCCAGAGGAAGTTTAAAGGCTCTGTGACATGAACTGCTGGGACAGGAACGTCATGCTGTACGTCAGGTGCTGCACAAAACCAGATTTCCCCTGACACTGGTCATTAGAGGATGTGTGCAGACAGTTGGGGTGAAGAGGAACGGAAAGATCTCCTGCCACTGACACCAAAGCGTGGCTGAGAGAATGTTTAATGCTCCACAGGTGAATCACACCTGAAAGCTGCCAGGTTCCTGTGATGGATAACACACTGATTCCTCGGTGAGCTCCAAGTGCTAACTCTATGGAGAGCTTCAGCAGAGGGTTCAGAAGGACACAGCAGCTCTAAGAGTAAAAATATACACTCCTACTGAAAACAAAGTGTTGGAAGAATGCTAGGGAGGGGTGAATAAGCCCTTGGTGGTTTGCTATTTGCTGGAGCTCTTTGCTCAGCCACAGACAAGGTGAGACATCTCACCTCTCACCACCAAAGGAGATGAGTTCAGCTCCCTACAAAGCATTCCTGGCTTTGGGAAAAACCCCCCGAGTCTTGCATTTTGGGAGAAGGCGGGGAAACAAAGCAGAGCCTTGCCCTGGCAGAAGTTATGAGACACAAGGAAAAAATCAAAACCAGCCTCAAATTGTGAGGGAGGAGAGAAAAACTCAACATCAACCATTCTGATGGAGCAGGGATTAAGGCAGCGAGGTTAAAAATGCTCCCAGGCAGGCCAAGGGGAACAACTAACCACAGTCCTGCAAAACATGGCATAAAAATCATCTCTGCAAATCCCCACTAAAACATGCCTCTCCTACCCCTGCAGATTAAGAGGCCACCAAGTCTTTGTCACTACAGGTGACAAAGTGAGGTTCTCCTGAAGAGCAGGTCACACTTTTGAAATGTGCATTTCCACTGAGGACAACAATCAAAATATTAGCATGCAAAAATGCTCTATGTTCACCAGATGTTTAACAATATTCCAAAAGGATTCATTAACCAAACACTCTTCTTGCAACAAGCCATCCTACTGATTTTCTGCCTCAAACTGTGATGGGTTTTTCTGGCCAAGAGGAGTAGGAAAGGCTGGGGTCAAACCACCCCTGGGCAGAGGCAGGGACAGGTATGTCAGTTCAGCAAATGGGTTTTACTCTTGTTTCTTCATCATATTGAACACGATATTGCAACAGATGGGCACGTTTTACACAAAAATGAATGTAAGGCCCATCCTCCCCTCTCTGGGCTGTGCAGGAGACAATCATTCATTTGCTTCTCCATGAACAAACAGATGGAAAACCAAGAGCAGGGGAAGAGGAGCACGACATCTGCAGTCCAGATGCTACAGCTGTGCACAAGGAGCACGCACAGCCAGATCCACAGCTCAGCAGTGTATCCCACCACCATTTCAGGGCAGCAGAACCCTGCCACTCCACACAATGATCCTGCCTTTCCTTGGCACCACACGCTCCAGCGTCAGCACAGGCAGTGGAACCCCCACTCTCCTGACCCTGCAGGAAAGGCCAGGCTGGTTCCCCTTCCAGTGGGGAAACTGGAAGAGGCTGTGGGCAGAGCCCCCTCCCGTGTGCAGTGTGAGGAGAAGGCACAGCTCGCTCTCCTATCGCCTGGCCCTGGGGGAGAACATCCCTCAGGCCCTCGAGAAGAGTGCTTGCACCTCTTGGTCTTCTGCCAGGCATTGTCCTGCTAATATTTCATCCAGCACACAAGCCTGAGTAACCAGGCATGCTGCCTTGGCCCCAGCCTGCAGGCACCACTGCCTCACAGACACAGCCCAGCAGACAGGATATTGAATTCCAAAAAGGAATTCCTTTCCTTGGCCAGAACAGGCTCCTGAGTGCACTGCCTGCTCGCAGGGCTGGCACAGAGCACAGCAGCAGGTACCCAGATGGGAGAGGATGCAGGTATGACACAGGCCACAGGCTAATTTCAAGCCTCCTCTAGCAAAAGGAGAAGTCTTAATTCAGTCTTTGCGGGTCATCTCCAGAATTTCAGGTCTTGCTGAGGACACAATGAAAACAGCTGGTATCCTGTTGCTGAATGGCCAAGGAACATCTCTCCTACAAGAGGTGGGGGATAGAAGCCTGACTGTGCCTTACAGACACAATGTCCACTCCATAACAAGGAAATTGAGTCCAAAGGTCAGAGTAAGACAGAGCAGGGAACACACCAACGCCTGCCAGGCACTGCTGAGGGCACTTACTGCTGAGCAAACCCTCCTGGTTTCACAGGACTGCTAGAGCCATACCCAGCGAGCTGGTGCCTTTGGTACCTCTCATGAATCCAGCACAGGGCCATGAAAAATAGATATTTCATTCTGTCACTCCTTTGTCACCAGTGTCCTGCTGAAAAAAAAACAGAAGTGAGGAAATTAAGAGAGTCATGTCATGCCCTGCTCCCTCCCGAGCTGCTCACCACCTTGGCAGAGATGGGCTCAGCTCATGCCCTTCTCCTGCTTCCTCAGCTTTGGCAACAACTCTGATTTCACCACAAACCATTTTTTTTTCCCCTGCATTTCTGAAACACACAGGTTGTAAATCTTTCATGTGAGGTGTAGCAGGGCCTGACAAATGGGGGACACAGCTCAGCAAGTGTCTAAATATACACCCCCAGCAGGCAAAGATGCTTGAGGTGACTAAAATTAGATGTGATTCTGACAACTGACAAGTGAGGAGAGAAACGGGATGCAGAGTAAATACTCAAAGGGATGTGTTGTGGAGAAAAGTGTGATCTGAAAGGCAGCAACTCATGTCATCCCCCCATGGGAGGTTGCTTGCTTCAAGGGAGCAGCATCCTGAGCTCTCCATGCAGAAGACGTGCTGACTTAACTGCAGACACTGCCATGGGCAGCCACAGCTTCTTCAAAGGACTGGAGAGAAATGGGATGCAGAGTAAATACTCAAAGGGATGTGTTGTGGAGAAAAGTGTGATCTGAAAGGCAGCAACTCATGTCATCCCCCTCTGGGAGGTTGCTTGCTTCAAGGGAGCAGCATCCTGAGCTCTCCATGCAGAAGACGTG